AGAAAGGCTATCTTATGGAAAAGGGATGAGACTTCTTCTGTGCCATTCCTGACGGCAGAATTGCAAAAATGGAAGTTATAGGGAGGCAGATTTTGATTCAGTTTAATGAAGAATTTCCTAACAATTATAGCTATAGAATGTAGTGAGCTCTCCAGAATTAGAAGTGTTGAAGCAGAGACTGAATGACCATCTGTCAAGGAAATTATAAATGGGATTCACTCACAGTATGGTTGGTTGGACTAAATTACTTCTGAGGTTTCTTCCAAAGCTAAGGTTCTATTATCTTCATTGCAATACAGTTTGTAATCCCACAGGTGAGAAAGCTAGAAGTTTCCAGATAAAAGGATACCTGAAAATTATCTGAACAGTTTTGGTGTGCACCGAGTCTGTCTGTGCAGTTCATTTGAGTCTTTCGTGAGGCTATCATCAAAATGTTTTGTTTGCATCATGGTAAGATGTAATTGGAATTAAAGTGCAGAAGAAGTTATGCTTAGTGAGTGGGTTAGAGCAAGAGACTGGGCAACACAGAAAAAGCTCCGCTCTGTTTGTGACCTCTACTTTGAAGCTCACACAAAGACTGGGATGTTGGGTGATCCAAAGCTGAAGCATAAACTTACAACCACTTGCAACTAAACAGACCCATCTCAACTTTCTAAGCCAGGACTAAACTAGATCCGTTGATTCAGGCTCAAGGACTAAAATGAAATGAGGTACTCATGAATAGCAAAATACCACAAAAACAATTTTACCAATTAAACAATTGAAAAAACACAACTCTAAGGATAAAAAAATATAAAACACTACTCTCTTCCACTGACCAGTTCAGAAGGGAAAGTGGAAGAGAAGGTGAAAGCTAAAGGAGGAGGAAGAGGCTCTGGCTATGATCAGGCTGTAGATGAGACCCTGTCCTCAAGAGGTACACAGCTCCTCCTGGGGCAATAGCCCCTAGCACTTCCCTTGACATCTTCATAAAATAAAAAAGTCCATCTATATTCTAATTCTCTTGGAGGTAAGGTCCCAAAAATTTCCTAGGGGGCAGTCCACCACCAAAATAACCTTAAAACAACCCTAGCAACTGAAGGAACTTAACAAAAACATAAAACAACATAAATAACTTTTTGAAAAATGGAGAGTAATTTCAGGCACAGTTCGTACTGTCTTCTGAGGTAAAACTATCATGATAGCCAGAAGCAGCACCAGGAACATTAGGTTCACATAATAATTGACAATATATCTGATGCAATCACAGGTCTGGATCATTTGAATCAAGACAGTTATGAGGTAATAGGACTCCTGACTCTAGCTTTCTCCAGAACCTAAGTTGATACTGGGACTCTGTACAATCACCTGGTTGGGTGTTCCCTCACCCACTAAGTTAAACTTCCCCTCTCTCACAGCCCCATCAAAGGGATGGTGCCAAATTTTAGTGCCTAGATGGAGGAGCTCACTCCTTTCTTTTACAGGAGTTGGAGGAAGATTCCCTTTCACCTTTGCCTAGCAATTCAAAATTACCATCAAGTCAGCCAAAGGACCTTCCTTTTTCCAAATGAGCTTACTTACTGAGATTATAAACATGTGGTTTCACTTTCCTCATTTCACTAAAAAGAAAAAGCACCTCCCAACAGTTCCACCAATTCGTCTTCCAAAATCTTTTTAGTAAGGAGCTGTGTGAACTGTCTTGGGGGAAAGGAAAATTAAGGAAAACCAGAACAGTGTCCCCAGGTTGTGCAGGGTCTTCTGAGGAGAGAAGGGGTCAAAAACTTTGAGGCTCAGACACTACATGGAAGATAGAATGAGGAAGGTCTAGAAAAGGTCAACTGACTCTGTGTCAACAGTAGTTCAATCTAATCTGGTAAATTCTCTTAAAACCTGGGGCTGTGGCACCATTGGAGTGAAGTGCCAGCCATGTAGCTCGAAGCTTGGCAGAAAGGGAGGACTTGCTAGGTCTCTCACCTCTCAAAGTGTCTCCAGTTATTGGACTGACCACTGCCAAGTTCTAATTGCATAAATATCTCTCATAATGGGTACAGCCAAGCAAACCAACGAGTAAACCAAGCCAAACAACATTTCTCAGGTTCTTGTAGGCAGGGGCCCACTGGGTTAGTGGAAGAGGCAAAGCATTGGGGATGCGATTAAAAATCATAGCCTTTGGCAAAATCACACACTAGTCATGGAAGGTACTAAAAGCTGGAAGGTCCAAGTGAGCATAGTCTAGGATGTGCCATTTCTGTTTAACAATGGAAGCCTCCTATGCCCCACCCATTTTGTTGGGAGAGCTACAAGGAAAGGCTCAGTAACCTCCAAAGGCTTCTATTTCATCTTACATAACAGGCACAAAAGCTACCATAAGCCTCTGTACAGATATCGACTCCCAAGATTCACAATATCCATGCCCACAATACACTCCTCTTGATCAGTCCTTATAATGAGACCCTAAAAGGGGGTTCCTTCCATCCACCTTCTCCTGAGTAAGAGTACAGCTTCCCTCAGTGGTATTTCCTCCAAAACCCCCAGTAGAAACTAGGACAGCCTTATGAAGTTGTTGAGGGTCCCCTGTTCTGCTAATATTTTACAGCCCCTTATTTGTTTGTCAGCACCCTACTTTCCAAGCCACACTGCCAACCTCAACCCTCAACTTCAGGTAATTCATTACAATAATCCCTCAAATCCACAAAGAGTTGGGTGGCTCTGATGATCAGAGAGAACAGCGGTGTTCGGGATGTCTTAAATTTTGAAGGTAGAATGACCTTTATTATCCTGATCCTGGATGTCCCAATATAATTTTCTAATATTCCCTTCACCTCCAAGTTGACCACCCACAATCTTCTTATTTACTTTCTATTTACCCTGTATTTCAAAAGCCATACCCAAAGCTCCTTCCAAGAGGGTCCCACCTCTGCCCACCTAACATAATGGTTGAGCACTGTCACTTCTCCCATCATGATCAGAGTGTGGTGAGCTTTATTTGCTCTGACAGCTACTATGGCTGCCCAAATCTCCAACAACTGATCTGCCCAGGTTTGTATGAAGTCCTGTCAAGGAGAAGCCCATGTCTAAAGCCTGATGCCATTCTAGTAGGTGCCTCACCAAAAGACAGAATCTAATGATACTCAAAACTGGCTGCTCATAAGAAGCAAAAGTGTATAAATCCAAACCACCAAAGTCATCTATTTAAATATTTTACTCCTCCCTTTTCTGTCCTCCATTAATTTCAAGTAATTCATCTTCTATGGGCCAAGTATGCAGAACTCCTCATTTTATCCACCTAAAAAAATACAAAGGGCAGGCCCCATCTGGAGCCTACAATTGAATCATCTGACTTTGTAACAGCAAATCATCTGTAACTTCTTCCAGCCAAAGAAACTCTGTAATTGACAAAGTCTAAATTGTCCCATTAGATCACACCCTTATTAGTCATTGTTCTAATGATTCATTAGCTTACTGAATAAATTTTTTCCTGAGACCTCTCAAGTTCCCACCCCCTGAACTCCCCATAGAGAAAATTACTTCTCTGGTAAAGGGTAAAAGGGAGGGAAGGGCAGTAGTAATAGGGTATATCTGAGGCTTTCTTATTACCTGATCTAATTTCCATTTATGATAATCTCAACAGCTATTTTCTTCCCTAGTTTCCACAAGGTTTTACATATGTGCCAATGAAAACCTCTAGGTTAATGGTTATGTTATCCACCTGTAGTATATTGGTTGGGGGTGGAGGGCAGGGGAGGAATTAGCAAAGCCTTTTCACTTATATGATTACCAAATCCACTGATCTTTCTTATGTCTTCAAGGCAGTTTTTAAAGATCAAAAGCTCAGGTATCTCTAACTGCCTAATAAGGGACAATTTATTTTTACTCTCTCTGTGTTGGTCAATTAGCCTTTCCAGAGCCGTCAGTTAAGAGCCACAGAATGCTCCATTCTAGTATATTCTCACTTTCCTTATCAAACTTCCATCCCACCAATTCCACAGATGAAGAGTTTTTTCCTGGCCCCACAGAAAAGGTTTTCCATAAACACCAAACAAGAATTTAGTTAGTAGAGATCAGGGCCCTGTATTTGGCCATCTACTTACCCAGGGCTCCTCTTCTTCCACAACACCCTTCTCCAGCAACTCACTCACCTCTTTTGCAAAAGGAATATATCTTCTACCATACTCTCCAACCAACAAACTTTAACTATTCATTCCTATTACAATGTGCTAGAGGTATTAACAGGTTCATTTCTTCCTCTAGATACCCAGAACCAACCAAAACAAATGTCCTATTCACCCCTGATTGGTTTGTTGGCATAGGGAAGTAAGAATCCCAAATCCTCACACATTTAAGTCTAGGTGGATAAGATGGTATCCTCAACTTCTTGGCCTAGGACAGATTGATTTGGCTGAACTATCTGTGATAAAATTGTTATGTGTGCATTTTCCCCAAACTGTACCTATGGAAGTAGACTGATCCCGTCTAGCAGGGCTTTCATTGTTTTAAAAGAAATTCTTTGGCTGCCGTGCCTCTTTATGGCTAATGAATGTCCTGGGAAGCTTCTAACTCAATGGTTAGCAGCACACATGACAACTAAAGATCTGCTGCTGGCCCAATACTCTTTGAAAGGTATAGAGCAAAGTATTTAGCCTTCCTATACACTTCTGTTTCAGGAGGAATGCAGCTGGGAATCTAGGGCCCTGTCTCATCACTGTGTGACAATGGCCAAGTCGTTTATCCTTTTGAGTCCTCAGTTTCTCATCACCCACCACGGTGATACAAAGAATACACTCCTGCCTCCTATTTACCTTGCAGGGCTAATTAGAGAATAAGTGAAACAATTTATGACATGCTCTCCCACAGGTGCTTGAAACTATTTCTTGAATTAAGTGCTCAAGTTTCTTGGAAAGAAGGCATTGTCAGTTATGATTATGATAGAGAGATGGAATTCCCAGAAAGGCACAGAATAGGAAGTAGGGGAGAACGAGACAAAAGAAATGGAATGGACTTGTAATATTTCTCAGACTTACCAATCCACCTCATCAGAGATGTCAAGATCTGGAGGTATTTGGTCTTCTGGACATCAAAGAAGGTGAAAGGTCCAAGAAGTAGTGTGAACACAGCCTAGGGAAGAAAAACTAGAGTAAATACAAAAAAAAAAAAGAAAGAAAGAAAGAAAAGGACAGCCTATAAACAACTTAATGTTTATGTAGGGAATTATGACAATAATAATAATAACATTATAAATAACTAGCATTTATATAGTATCCGCTATTATGTTCCAGGCACTGTGCAAAGCACTGTTACAAATATTATCTCTCATTTGATCCTCACAACAACCCCGTGAGATAGGTACTACTATTATCTTCATTTTGCAGATGAGGAAACTGAAGTAGAGATGAAATGACTTGCCCAAGGTCATACATCTAGTAATTATCTGAGGCTGGATTTGAACTTGGGTCCTCCTGACTCCAGCCTCAGCACTCTATCCACCATACTACCTAGTTGCCTCCAACTACCCTGTGCATGTGGTTAATGTCTAATTCAATTTACATCTGGGTTAGTTTAGGCTAAATGGGGTGAAACTATCCTAGACTTGGATAAATTTCATGGATCAGTGATGGAATCAGAAATGAAAACTATTCACTTTCCCCTCACTTATGAGTTTCTGAGACTGGATTCCTAGGCATACTCAGAGTACCACCAAGAAGATGGGTGAGTCACCTGGGTGTAGAACCTTGTACTACATCTCAGGGAAGGGAGAATGAAAAGATATAGATGATCATTGACCGCAGAGAGATAGCATGTATGAACAGACTTAGGAACACTTACAAACAATGTATTAAGTACAGATTAATACAGTATAAACTTATGAAGTGACCTGGAATAAATAATCAATTAGGTAGTAATTAATCAAATAAATCTTTTAGTTTAAACAAATGAAGAAGAGACCTGGAAGAGAGCAGCCAGGATTGAGCTCTGAAGCAAACCACATATAGCAGCAGCAGTATAGGATAAAGAGAAAAGGAACCAAATCTGGCAAAGATCTGTGGTGAACTCGAAGAACAGACTGCAGATTTAGATCACCTGGGACAAACTAATTCTCTCTTTTCTTCTAGCAGCAGGAAAAAGTACTTACAAAAGATTTTTCTCAGGGGTAGCTAGGTGGCGTAGTGGCTAGCGCATGAGCCCTGGAGTCAGGAGGACCTGAGTTCAAATCAGGCCTCAGACACATAACACTCACTAGATGTGTGACTCTGGGCAAGTCACTTAACCCCAATTGCCCTCACGAACAAAAAAAAAAAAGATTTTTCTCCATTTCCCTTGGAAACCGATCTCTGAAAACAGAACTCTCTTTATACAAAAGCTTTGCAAAGTATTGACTCAAGGATGTGGAGAAGACTTTCATGCCAAATTTGCTGCTCAGGGCACAGGAGAAGAATTAAGCTGTTAGTTGGAGTTAAGATGATGATTCCGTTTCCAATCTGCCACTCAGAAGCTGCTCTTAGCATCAGACCAGACCTTATTAACATTTACACTGTGCCGTTTTCTCACATTAATGCTAATGATATCCACCAGAGATGCACCAGACTGGGCTCCCGAAAGCTGAAACCTTAGAGAGAGGGACAAACTTCTGGGAGCTAGGCTCCAGTCCTGTGATCTCAGTGAATACATTAGAGCTGCTCATCATGGCCCCTGTGACAGGCAGGTGCTTGGCACAATGGGGAGCATGAGCTGTACTACCTTCCCCCACCCCTAGCTGCCTGGAAGAAGAGGGATGTGGAAGAGAGTGGGGGCGTGGGGACAGCAGGATGTGTGAAGAAGCTGTGACCTCTTATCCAAGTCCATTACTGCTGTGAGAATGAATGACATTAAAGACTAAAGTGTTGCTCAAGGAAAAGGCTCTAATTAGGCAGGGTGGATAAGGTCTCTTGGCAGTCACCAGGGATGGGGAGAAAGAGCAAAATTGAGAGCTCTTATTCACTTGTGAGACTAAGGCTCTCTGCTAATTTTGTTCAAGACAGGGTAAAGCTGAACTACTCAGGTGGAACCAGGGGTGTCAGGTAGCTCTGGGGAAAACCTGGGGGACCACTAAAATTTTGATCTTCTTCCCCTCTCACCTTGCCTCCAGAGTGGGGCACCGAGAATGCAGTCATGCAGGCAGAGTCACCATTTAGATTTCTGTAGCAAGTCTGTATGCAGCACCATCACTAAGTCATTTAGGAAAATTACCACTTCAGGGAAGCTTTCCACTGATGAGTTTCTTTTTGAAGGGTGGAGAGGAAAGTGACTTGGGGAAGATGAATAAATACAAAGCCATTTGTTACAAATGTTCCCAAAGGACCCCAGCACACTAGAAACAACTCCTGGTTCAGTTCTCCAATTCTGTGCTTGATTGGAGGTCAGTCTCACCTTTCTGACCTTCAGTTTTTCCATGTGAAAAATGACAAGGCTATCTGGTACTCATTTTGGTGCCACTACTTCAATGAATGATAGAGCTGTAAAGAGTCTTCTGAATGGCCTTAGTAGAGAGATGAACATCATTTTTGAAATAGGACTATTAGGACTGTATAAAACACAAACACAGATGCCATCCATTTCGGTTCATCACACCCAGGACTCTCTCCTCTTTAAAGGCACTTCTACTTAGTACTGAGTGGCTTGAAGAACCAAGGGTTAAGGATGTGCTGAGGGAAGGACAGTGCCAAATAGGTCCTGCTAGAAGTCCCTAGAGATAGTGGCATATGAATTCCGGAGTTAGTCTCAAGTTGAACAGGACAGGGAGTTATCTGATAGCACAACTTAGTGAGATGGAAATGTTTCAGAAGCCATTTGAGGGAAATTATAGGAATAGTTCTGGTGCAGGTTGGATCAGTATTCATTATGGGAAGCAATATACGAAGTCTGGAAAGAGCTGGAAGGGTGAGATCACAAGGAGACGTCCAAAAGGTACTGGGGATTTAAGCACCAGGGAAGGTTAAGAATGGGAGCACAATGCAGAACAAATGAGCAAGAACAAAGCCTTGTCTTTGTGAATATGACCACTGTGTTGCAAGTAGCTGGATGTGGCTTTTATGTGGTCACAATTACCTCTCCACCACTTGCACTAGATCTTTCTTCATCATCTACAACTCACCGAGTCTATCATATGTAAGGAACTCTGATATGTTAGGCATACAAAGATACAGAAGATATCCCTTGTCTTCTAAAAGTTTAGTGTTGAGTAGTGATTGGTTCATTCTTTGTGTTTGCATTCCCAGTGCCTGGCAATCAATCATATCATCACATAAACATTTATTAAGTGTCTACTATGTGTCAAGCACCGTGCTAAGAGTTGAGTATACAAAAAGAGGCAAAAGACAATCCCTGCCCTTGAGGAGCTTACGACCTAATGGGGGTGAAAGGGGAGGGAGAGATACAACAAGCAAACAAATATGTACAAACACGCTATATACACGGAATAAACAGGAAATAATTAACAAACAGACAGCACTAGTATTAAGAGGGATTGGGAAAGGCTTCCTGTATAAGGTGGGATTTTAGTTGGGACTCAAAGGAAGTCAGGAGAGGTCAGTAGTCAGGGATGAGGAGGGAGAACTTTCCAGGAAGGGGGAAGAGCTAGAAAACATTCCTGGAGCTGAGAAATAAAGTATTTTATTTGTGGAACAACAAATAGGCCAGTGTCACTGGATGCAAGAATATATAGTGGTGGAGTAGGGTGTAAGAAGGCAGGAAAGGTGGGGGTTGGTGGGGATAGGTTATGAAAGGTTTTGAATGCCAAAGATCATTTTGAATTTGATTCTGGAATGAGGAAGCCACTGAAGTTTATTGAGTAAGAGGGTGTCATGATCCAACTTGTGCTTTAGGAAGATCATTTTGGTGGCTGAATGGAGAATGGGTTAGTGTGTGAAGAGACTTAAACAGGCAGACCCATCAGCAGGCCATTATTATGGTCCAAGTGTAAAATGAAGAGGGCATGCACTAGAGTGGTGACAGTGTACCAGGAGAGAAAGGGGCCTATTTGAGAGATGTTGCAAAGGTAAAATAAACAGGCCTTGGCAATAGATTGGATATGGGAGGGTGAGAGATAGTGAGGTGTCCAGACCGACTTCCAGGTTGTGAGCCTGACAGACTAGGGGGATAGTGTCACCTTCTACAACAATAGAGAAGGCATCTCTGACAAGATCTTTTTTGAAGACACAGTCTAGCAATTTAATATTCAAGGCTGGTTCAAGACAGCACTGGTTTTTGTAACAATTTTTAAATAACTAAGCGCACAGAGTCAAGTACACCATTTATGACCCAACTTGGTGGCAGCAAACACACACAGACTGTTAAACACTGGCCCCTTTCAAAGAGCTGATTAGCTCATACATCAGAGGCAACTGAGACAGAGACAGACAAAGGCTGAAGATAATTAAGGAACAGGTGTCTTTTGAAAATTAGCACAAACCACAACAGAGGAGCAGCAATGGAGCAGGCATTCAAAGTGAAAAAGGACAAAGGACTTGAGAGAAGTGAAAGAGTGTTGTCACAAAACAGTAAAGCTGCTTTGGGTCCTGGGAAGAAGTAGGGTCTTCAAGAGAGAAAGACATACCAGCATCTAAATGGAATTAAAAGTTTTAGGTCCAGGCTGAGACAAAAGCAATTTATGAATTATATGTATTTTCTCTAGTAGCAATGTTCAAAACTGTTCTTATACACTGCTTTTTTTCTCCTTGTTTTTTAAATATGAGCCAGATTCCTCTCTTGGATCTCCTAATTAAGCTCATACAGAATAGCCAGCTCCTAAAACAATTTCCTATCTCCCAAATGGTATTATCAGGTCGAATTTACTTAAAAGGAAAAATTTTCTGGCTATAATAAATTCCTCAAATTGGTCATCAATAATAAGCTAGATCCACTTATACTATACTGATATATATTGATATTGACATATCAATACCTACCTATTGATCTATAGATATAGAGACCTGGAGATCCTCCCACCTTCTTGGATCAGTGGACATCCAAGAGCGATAAAGATACTTGCTAGGGTCTTGACTGGGTAATTGAGATAATGTTTACATGGCACCCAAAGACTCTTCTTTTTTGGAAGAGGAGATGAGGGTGGAAGTGGTAGT